ACTCAGAAGCCTCAGAGACAATTAGAGGATGGGATGCATAAACTCCGAGACGCCACTGGGAGTGTACATGTGACCATACGCACAGTCCCAGAAGTCTGGGGGCAGTCCCGTGGGATTGAATGGAGGGTAGTGGAGGCTAACCCCCATATTGAGAAACGCTGCTTGACTTACCACCGACTTCAATGCAGAACAAACGCATTTCAAATGCACTGTCTTTAGGCGGTGCCAAAGCAGCACAAACACACAGACACATTTCAAACACACTGCAAGAAAGTGGGTTTAAAGTTCAAGTCAAGGAGCATTTCTGTATACGGGGGTAAGTGTGTGATCATGGGTATGAGCCAGCAGCTCGGATACAGCATAATGGAGGTGAACCAAGACATGTACGAGCCCGGCACTCGCCCCTTTGCACAAGATGGCATTCATTACAGTGGTGCGACGAGCAGGAGGGTTGGTAATAGGGTGGGTCGTCAAGCCACAGCTTCGTTTAGGGGGACAAAGCCCTCAGGCCAACAGTGCAACCAAAGACGATTCTAAAGGGGCATCAATATACAAGCCACGTGGGGTCCGTGGGAGAATAAAACGACGTAAGCACAAGGGCCGAGCTAATTCAGACATAGGCTATATTAACATGCAGGGTGAAAGGAATGGGTTAAAGTGGGAAGAGATAGAATAGCCGTTAAGGCAGGAGGAGCTGATGGTATAAGGGATTGTGGAAACACATCTTTGGGACATGGAGCAACCACCTTGCAATCTGGACTATGTATGGGGATGTTGCAATAGAACAGAAGGCAGCAAAAAAAGGGGTAAAATTGGGGCATTTATACACAAAAGTATGGGTTGGTAAAGTGTCAAGCAGGGATGCACGGAGGATTCATGGTTAAAAAGGAAAGTAGCTGGGCAGATGACACTCCTTGGTTTGGTGTACTTGCGAACGGGTGCAAAACCAGAGAGGAAAACCAGCCAATGATGGAGTGTATAACAAATGACATTAAGGAATTAGGAGGAGAGTGCGAGATAATTATACTAAGAGATATTTATTTACTTTATTTATTTATTTATTTATTAGGTACCTGCTTTGCCATAAGGCATTACAGCAGGGAGGGTACAGTACTATGATCAAACACATGAAAAAACATATGAAACATATGACACATATGAATGCACACATAGGAGATATAGATGGGTATACTGACCCAACAGACAAAGTGATCATGGATATGTGTGAAAGTCATGATTTGATCATTTTCAACAGTACTGAGAAGTGTGAAGGGCAAATAACATGGGAGGCAGAAAGGCTGCAGTCAACTATAAATTATGCGTTGATGTCACATAGGATGTATGATAAGCTCGGGTAAATGCACATAGATGAATGTGTCACCAGAAGTCTGGGTAGTGATCACAAACATACCAAGCTAAGTTTTGGAAGAGCAATGAAAGTGCGAAGAGACAAATTGAGCAACTACAGAGAAAGTTTTATTCAGAAAGGCAAATAGAAATAGGTACTAAAAAATTGAGAAAGTAATCACATAATAAAACAGTGTGGACATACACGAATCCAATAAGACTGTTTGAGCTAGAGCTTGCTAAGGCACGTGACAAGTCACCCCGGAAAAGGAGACACAGACCCAAAAGTTGGTGGGATTACGAAGTTGAAGAGAGCCATAGCAAAATGTCAGAAAGCCTCTTACACGAATCTAATTAGACTGTTTGAGCTAGAGCTTGCTAAAGCACGTGACAAGTCACCCCGGAAAAGGAGACACAGACCCAAAAGTTGGTGGGATGAGGAAGTTGAAGAGAGCCATATCAAAACGCCCAGAAGCCTCTTACATGAATTCAATTAGACTGTTTGAGCTACAGCTTGCTAAGGCACGTGACAAGTCACTTCGGCAAAGGAGACACAGACACAAGAGTTGGTGGGATTAGGAAGTTAAAGAGAGTCATAGCAAAATGTCAGGAAGCCTCTTACACGAATCTAATTGGACTGTTCGAGCAACAGCTTGCTAAAGCCTTGTGCCAAGTCAACCCGGAAAAGGAGACACAGACCCAAGAGTTGGTGGGATTAGGAAGTTGAAGAGAGTCATAGCAAAACGTCAGGAAGACTCTTACACGAATCTAATTAGACTGTTTGAGCTAGAGCTTGCTAAGGCACGTGACAAGTCACCCCGGAAAAGGAGACACAGACACAAGAGTTGGTGGGATTAGGAAGTTGAAGAGAGTCATAGCAAAACGTCAGGAAGACTCTTACACGAATCTAATTAGACTGTTTGAGCTAGAGCTTGCTAAGGCACGTGACAAGTCACCCCGAAAAAGGAGACCGACCCAAGAATTGGTGGGATGAGGAAGTTGAAGAGAGCCATATCAAAACGTCAGGAAGCCTCTAGGGAACACAGACATGCTATGCAGCGGGGCGAACCGGCAGATGATGTTGAAAAAAAATGGGTTACCTTTCTAAGCTGTAGAAGGGAAGCATCCCTTCTTATCAATGAAAAGATTTGAAGAAAGGGGGCTCAGTGGCTGGCAGAAGTACATAAAAAGGATAGAAAGGCCACTGCAAAATTTTGGAACCATCTAAACTTTCTAAAAAATGTCTATAGCAGAGATTTATAACTACAGCTCAAGGTGTTAGGCTAGAGGGGGACGAAGCTATTGAATATATAAGAACAAGGATTACAGAAAAATTTCAGCAAGGAAGTGCCCTATGTACCTAAATGGCCAAGGATAAATTAAGTGGTACAGTTGTTTCATTTTCACAAAGAGGAGGGGGAGAAAGGGCTGAGAAGAGGGTTTCTAGCAGCACATCAACAGGCCCTGATGGCATCCCAATTATGCTGATAAAAGCATTGGGTCCCAAGTCTCAGCAGATTTTGAGAGAGGCAGCGAGCAAAACAATAATTAATGGTGAAGTCCCCGATGGGTGAAAACTTAGCAGGATGAGCATGATCTATAAAGAAAAGGGGGACAAAGCTGGCATAAACAACTACCACTCTATAACAGTGGCATCAGTGGTCTACAGGCTGGCGATGCAGATTATAAAGGAAAGACTGTAGGCATGGATAGAGGATGAGGGGGTGCTGGGGGAACTGCGGAATGGGTTTCGGAAACACAGGAGGTTGGAAGACAATCTGTTCTCACTGACGCAGTGCATTGAAATAGCAGAAAAGGAACACAGGCCCCTGTGACTAGCATTTTTGGATATCAAGGGAGCGTACGATAGCATGGTTCAAGAGGGTTTGTGGGGAATACTGGACGCCCTAGGTATGGAAGATGGAGTCACTAATCTTTTTAAGGACATCTATTAAGTAACAAGGTAGTTATAAAATGGGAAAAACAGGAATCTGAGCCCACAGACATAAAACGGGGGCTTAAGCAGGGGTGTCTTCTGTCACCCTGGTTATTCATGATGTATCCACAAGGATTAGAGGCCCAATTAGAGGAGAGTGGACTTGGCTTCAGCCTCTCTTTCGTCCAACAAGGAAAACTCGTTGAGCAGGCACTACCGGCATTGCTGTATGCAGATGATATAGTGCTAACCGCCGACAACAAGGAAGATTTGAAGGGATTGATAGACATCTGCAGTAATGAGGTGGGTAGGTTAAACTTGAGATTCAGTAAAGAAAAATCAGCACTCATGATTTTTAATGATAATAGAGGTAGTGACCTTAGGATACAGGAGGTCAGGCTAATGATAATGGATAAATACAAATATCTGGGCGTATGGATAAGCAATGAGACCGAGTACACAAAGGAACACGAAATATACGTAATGACTAAAGGTAACATGAATGCAGCAGTGATTAAAGATAGGGCACTGTGGAATTACAATAGGTATGATGTTGTGAGAGGAATTTGAAAAGGGGTCATGGTTCCTGGTCTGATGTTCGGCAATGCGGTCTTGTGCATGAGATCAGAACTTCAAGCAAAATTAGAAATTAAGCAACGTGGAATTGGCAGGCTTGCCTTAGGAGCTCACAGGAATACACCAAATCAGGGAGTACAAGGTGATATGGGATGGACATCATTCGAGGGCAGGGAAGCTAGCAGCAAGATAAAATTTGAAAAGTGAGTCACAGAAATGGGGGAGGAGCTAGGAAGGCTCTCAGCTATTTCTACACAAGGAATGTCAATACAAAATAGAGGAAGCGAACGAAAACATTGAGGGGTAAATACTTCGAAAACAGCAGGGGGCCAAACCAAAAATAACTATCGGTTAAGAAGAAGGTGAATGAAACAGAGATCGACATGTGGAAAATAGGCATGATTAAGAAGTCGGCACAAGAGATCTATAGAACTTTTAAGCAGGATATTGACAAAGAAAGGATCTATATGATAATTGTCGGGGTAGTTCTTGCTTTTTGACGCCAGGACGGAAGTATTGCGAACCATGACTTATTGGACCAAATATGAAAGGGTAGACACGGTATGCAGTGCATGTGGAGAGGAGGAGGAAACTGCCGAACACTTGATAATGTTCTGTAGGGGGCTTTACCCTGTAGTTCATGATGATGGCGCAGAGTTTTTCAAAGCACTGGGGTTTAGGGACAGGGAGGGCAAAATAGAGTTTAAACGGGTAGAAATAACTAAAAGGAGGTTATCTGATTGATAGCTACAATCAAGGCACGAGTGAAAATTAAATCCATAACTACAACGTGCCAATGCTTAACTTCACAATTTAAAGAGGGAAAAAAAGATAAATCTAGTTTTTGTTTACTAACTATTACGGCAAGGTGGCGTTAGCCACCACCCGATCTAAAAGCTACAGCTATATCAATCCACCCATGTATCTAACGACAGCGTCTTAAAAAAAAAAAAAAAAAAAAAAAACAAGAAGAGGAGGGCGGAGGAGCAGTTTTGCAATAGCTAGATTTTGTTCACTCGCTACCTCCGTTATCCGCAAATCCATCTGCACACCTCTGCCTGATCACGGCACTCTGGCCATGTTAAAACGCTCGATCGTTAGTTATAAACTACCGCCAGTTTTGCTGAACAACACATATTACCTGTCTCTTCGAAGAATGCGGTCGTTAATAGTTCTTGTTCTTCACAGCGGGTCTGCCTGTTTTTGGACGGCGCGACGAAGGGAATGAGACCGTGGACAAAGTCCGGGCAAAACGGTAGCGCAACTCAAACAAAATCGAGGAGTCACACCTCAATAAGCATACTCACACCAGACTGCTTGTGATGACAAGGCACTGGTCGTGCGCCTCACAAGTTTAGCCGGCCCGAAAAGCACACATGCCCGACCACAAAACACTTACAGCGGCACATGTTTACACGCATACTATATGACCTCCGCTGCTTCCGCCCCGAAACTTCAGAGGGCGAAATAGCGACGCGGTTTATTTTGAAACGCGGGCCAGTGTATCTACTGACCTTTCTCTTAGCGCTAATCAATGCAGAAACAGCCGCTACTTGGGCAAAAATTGTCTTTTTCGCGTACGTCTTGCATTAAGCGGCCAACTCCTTAAGCACCTTGGGACAAAGTAGATAGTCGCACAGAGATATACTGGCGTTATCAGCATGCGTCACGGCTTCTCCGCACGCCGGCCGTCTGAGCCGGGTGGGCTGCGCGATGTTCAAGGCGGTGAGTCGCTGACTTGCCTGGCTCCTTAGTCAGCACATACAACTATGCCGGCCACGCCACAGAACACCTGGCCACGCGTCCTTCCACAAAGTTCGCGAAAAAAACACCAGGGACAAGAAGGAAACACGAGAAGGGCACTGCGGCCGGTATCGAACCTTGCCTACTGCATGCCTACGTCAAATGAGCTTAGGTAATTAAAGTGTGCAGTCCTTAGCTGTCACTTATGAAAGACTTGCGATAACTGACAAGCATAGTCGTGCGCATGGGGGAGTAAGGGAGGAGGGGCGCAAAGTCAGCCAAATAAGAAGGGGGCACTTCAACACGAAAGAAAACGACCCCCCCCCCCCCCCCGCCCCATTCAAAGGAACTTTGTGCACGCTTATGCTGACAAGCAATGTTATTTATAGTAAAAAAGAAGGCAACTGTTAGCTCAACGAATTAAGGACACAATATAAACACAGAATTTTGAGAAATTCTACTGTACTCGCCACTGGTCCCCTAAATATGAAGGCAGCAGCAGCTGGCCCTATAAATGGCTGCAAAGCAATGGTGACAAGCTGGAGACACTGAGTATGCTCAACAAGAGAATACTATGGAACAGAGAAGGCAACAGCAGCCCCGAGAAGACCCTAAAGCTATGGAAGGCCTACACCAATGATGTGCCTGTAGAGCTACGAGAGGTGTGAGCGCTTGGTTTCAGCATGAATCTCTCTCTCTGGAGTTTGGGCGTATCTTGTTGTGTCTTTGGTTTAACTCAAACTTCTCTGCCCAGAATCAACATAAAAACAACCTAGTTAAAGCCTAGCAACCATACCTGCAGAAGCAAGATAGAACAGCCTGCTTCACCTAGCTAAGGGCTACAAACAACCTAGAAGCAACCAGATTAGTTCTCAGAATCATGCAGTTTTGCTATTTGAAGCTCTGGAAGCTTTGCCAATTTTTGTTTCTGCCTGTTGGCGTCACATAGCACATGATCCTTTTATGAGAATTGGGTGCTGCCGATTTGTAGTTACTTATTATATGTTTGCGAATATGCTGCCTTTGACAATGAACAACCTGAAATCAGTTCTGGAAAAAAAATGTTTCCAACTGGAAGAGGGTGAAGAAAGGAACTTGACAACTATTTATATAAAAATTTAATTAGGTCTGCTTCACAGGCATCAATGAAACAGTGAAGCTGGTGGTGTCAGGCTAAGTGCATTTCTATGTTTTACAAGTCTGTCAGATATGTTGTATCATTGCTCTTTATTAAACAGTCTTTGTTAAAGCTCTGAAGTGACTGCATACCTTTATTGCATGTTGACCATACCACCCTTATACAAGTTCAGAAGGAAGCCTATACGATGCTCTGATATATATGTTGTGCGCACTGCTCTTTATTAAACTCTTTATTAAGCTTTGAGGTTGTAATATAGACACCGCCCTTTATAACCACAAATTATCACGTGACTGGGGTGTGACTGTGGTAATGCACACACTATTTGTTGTGCTAACTGCTGCCTTATTCTTTTTTAGTGGAGGTTGTGTGTCGTGGAATTTGCCCAATTCCTGTGGCCCATACATGTTTGTGATGATGATAATTTTTTATAGGCCAGCACAGACTTCAGTGGCACATACTTGTCTGTTGGTTTAACTAATGCCTGCATTTTTAGTGCACCTGTGGTTTGTTGTGGGATTTAAGAAAGGTTTCTGGCACATATGCGTTTATGGTACCCACGAGCATTACAAAATTTCTCGAACATGAAAGGCTCAACCAAGCCAACTTCACTGTTGGGGCGAGTGAAAACGGGCGTGGCGATCAAAGTGGTGTGGCTGAGAGCTGGCTTCCCTTTACAAATGGCATGCATATGACCCATCCACCTCGTGGGTGTGAGCTACCTTCTCCTAGGTGACAGAACAAAACCCTGAGTTTGTGACTAGGCTGTCTGCCTTTCAGCGTTCTAATGAAAGTGACAAGGTATGAAAAGGTCCGCGAAGCAAGTTTTCCTTGAAGACGATGCCAAAAGGTAAAATAGCAGAATTCGTGCCCGGAACCAGAAAGACATCATGGGTAAAGCATCTGGAGGTTTACTATGAGTCGACGATGTCATAGAATCCTTCAAGACGTGTTCTGGGGTGAGCAAATGTGCAAAAGGGGGCCCTGGTGGTACACCAGAAGCCTTCTGAGGTGGACTTAATCAAGTTACTAATCCAGCACATTGACCTCAAGCCTTCTGAGCTACTTAAATGTAAGCAATTTGGTCAGCCACTCAAGAGGAAAGCAAACTTAGTTGTGGCATTTTCTGTAATGGCAGGTGCGTGCATGCTGAAGCATATTTCTTGTTCTTTCCTCGTATTTCAAAAGTAAATGATATTATATGGTAAGTGCGTGCACATTGTTACAAGTTAGCGCTCGCCTTCATACTTTCTCCTGTCCAGAATAGAATTTTCCACTATGGAAACAGTGAATCAAAGTGACATCATAATGACATCACAGATTTGGTTATCTATAGCAGAGCGATGGCATCATCAAGCCGTACTCTGTGATCAAGTGACTTTTGCATCATTCATGTGGATGCCGATGGTCATCTTTCTCTTTTATGAGGCAGCAAAGGCTTACACCTCAATATAAAACTACTTTCCACTTACCAGTATGCCAAAGCACTTATACTCATTTCTACTAACTAAATGGCTTCAGTCTTCATTGATGACGTACATTAAGGTCTAACAGCAATGGGGAACTTAACCAAGGAAGCTCTTAAACAAATGGCACGATAGCCATCGATGGGGAATTTCAAAATTTAATCCTTCCTTAAAAAATAATTGTAATGATAAAACTGGCCATATACAAAGAAATAACTAAAATTCTTGGGCTAGCTGGTAACTCATAATATAATTTGTAATTTAACGCAACTTAGGAGTCCCTGAAAAGACTCGCACATTCGCACTCACTTCCACTGGAGATATGCCACACAGTGTTGTGTGTGGTATATGTATACGCTGTGTATACACTTGTATACACTTGTATATGCTGTGTATTCACAGCGTATACGATATGTATACACTGTGTACTATAACCGTGGAGTGTCATAAGGGGAAAGTAAAGTGTAGATAAAAAAAATGATATCCATCTGGTTCTTGTTTTATTTGTAATTTACTTTCTAAATGGCACTTCACTAGATCACATGAGAAATTTTAATTAGTGGAAGTTGTTGGGTGCCAAATGAAAAGCTTTGTGTCACTAGAATTTTTTATTTTGTTCATTACAAGTTGTGAAATCATGATGTGAGGTTGAAACCTTTGCCACTCACCCGACATAGACTTTGCAAGCCCGATTCCTTCCCTGCCCTATTTGGTATCGGAGCAACTCGAAGCTGGAGGATCACACAATGTGGAGGCATCAGTAGGTCGTGCGTGTGCAAGGTACATTTGCATGACATGCCCATGCAAGGCCATGCACGAAAGCAGTGTTTTGTCATTTCGACATTCTCTGTAACGTACTGCCTGTTTCTGTGGGAGAGATCCCTCTATGCGGGCACGTTTGGAGAGGCTGGCGTGGATCACGTATCCTTGCCACCATACACAGGATCACACCACTAGAACTCCTATAAGGAACGATGCACCAAAATTACGCCAAGGGTTGTGAATGCTGAAACCGGCACGATGCGAGAATGGCGAGAACACCCAATTCAAATGAAATGAAGGCAGCTGTCTCGCATCTTGCTTGATGCAAAGTCAACTGACATACTTCTACTCGGGCAATAAAGTGCACAAATCACGCACGTCGTCTCGTATAATTCTCGCAGTGTCACGTACTACTTTGACGTGCGCAGGACCATTATAACACCTCCACCATGTTGGGGCACATGCCTGTGCGATAAAGGTCAAGCGGTGTCCAGTCTCACATTTCATCTCTTTGTAGAGCAGGTAGCACTGCAAATCTTTGTAGATGAAATCGTGAGCACTGCATATGCTCCTCTTCACTTCTCGAAATTCACAAACCTGTGTAAGGGCCTTTTAAGGTGTTCACAGACAGAAATTTGAGCCTGTGTGTTGAGACCAAGTTATTACAAAGCAAAAAGATCCTTTTGGCCTATTGCGCTCTGACAATTTGCACCTGTGTAGCCCTTCTCAGCCATGCCAAAAAGAGAGAGACCCAGAAGCATGTTTATTCGACAGTGGACTCTTAACTCACCATGCTGCACTAGAAATAAAGAGACCGTTTTCTGCGAACCCTGCGGGAAAAGAAAGCATAGCTAGGCTAAGCCATCACGCCTTTGTACCATGACAAACTAAAGCATTTTTGTTTATTTTCTTGTAGTCACAGATCCCACACATAATTCTTCGACAATTTGAATTTTGTCGCATTTTATTGTGCCTATATTTTTGATTTTGGGTGTCTAAAACAGTGTTTAGTTCACCTATTTCTGGTGCCTGAAATACGGTTTTTTAGTGCCTGAAAATCCGGCCTCTAGACTCATGAACGCTTTTCATTGGTTGTGTTATGAGTTACGATGTTCCCAAGAATGCTCGCCATTGGCTGTGTTTCAAGTGATGTCGTTGCTTGCGGTGCCGAGCCTGCACGCAACAGTTTCTCTTGACTCCCCCCCCCCCCCCTCTCGCCGAGTTGGCTCGCGCTTTCAGACGCTTGCAACAACACAACATTGCAGCGTCAATGTTATGATTACGAGAGTTCGTTCGCTGGGGCGAATGCCACTTTTGGCAGGAGTTTCTCCAGCGGCACATTGGCTTTGGCTGCGATGTTTTTGACCACCTGTGGTTCGAGGACAACCACTGTGATTAGCGCATTGCAAAATCCATTTAACTGCTTATACATTCTTCCATGACCAAGATCATGCGAGACACAATGTGTGGCATGTGAAATAAACGCTGTGGTAAACCCGCGTCTTTCATAATCATACGGTGGTTTGGGGACGTTAAACCCCACAAATAAATCACTGTGGTAAACCCAAGCGAAAGGTGTGTCTAATCTCATTAAGAAGCACAAACATGTAACCAGTAATTGTGAAACGCTTCTATGCCACGTCGGTTTGAACTCACTGCTAAACACCGGGCCGCATGTTTGAGCTTTCGCTGGTTAACTATTTATATGAAGTGCTTAGGCGGTGATTTTTTTGTCGTGCTATGGCTCACGCTACTTAGTCTCAATTGAAGTACATACTAACTTTGATTAGTGAGGGGCTGAATTTCACTCCTGCCTTAATTTTAACCACAATTAGACAACCTCCTATTAGTCATTTATACCAGCTTGGAGTCTTATTATTAACTGTCCCTAAACGCCACTGTTTTGAAAAATTCAGTCCCATTGCATTAGACTGTAGGGTGAAGCTGTTCATATAAAAAAGTATCAAGTATTCAGTTATTTCTCCTCTCCGCTTGTTCCAAATAGTGAATTTATTCCTTCCTTTCGGTACATCTTAGTACTCAATACATGAGTCCTGGCTTCAAACAAGAGTAAGCTACCTGGAGATTTATTGTAAATCTTTACTTTGGCAATCTCCTGCTAGAAAATTCTTCACGTTTCCAGTACCGATTCCACAAGCATCCATATTTTCCACATGCCCCTCACTGTTTGTCGTTTCTCTTAACCGTTGATTGTTTTTCGCCTAGTCTCCTGCTGTTATTGTCCAAATGTTTGCATGATAATTTGCTGGTTCACTTCATCCATTGTGGGTCAGCATTTCTTATCTAAATGTAACTAAAAACATTTCTAGCCAATCATTTCTTTCAATTATTTCTCAAGTTCTATTTCGCTGCCACCTTCCCTGCCCTCAAATGATGCCCATTCTATGTGACCTTGTACCCTCTGATTTGGTGTGTTTCTGTTACTTTCCAAAGCAAGCCTACCTGTGCTGTGTCGCTCAATTTTCATCCTTGCTTGTACTCCTGATCTCATACCAAGTGTCAGACCAGGAACTATCACCGCTCTTTAAATTCCTCTGACCACCTGCTGTATTTTCACAGTGCCCTATTTTTTATTACAGCAGCATTTCTGTTGCCTTTGGTAGGCAATTATATTTTTTGTGTTCCATTAGGTACTCCAGCTGTTCGTCCACACACCAATAGTATATTGTTATTTATCCGCTACATTTAGTGTGTCCTGCTGCATCCTTCACTGGCCGCCTTTATAATCATTATGATTGAAGTCTGCTCATTTTGTGGTGCTAGACTTTAAACCTAACTTGTCTCTCTCTTTGCCACAAATGTTCATCAATCCCTGCAAGTCTACCTTGTTTTTGGCCATTAATACTCTATGATGTGCTGACATCATTGCTAATAATGACTGTTCAATACATGTTCCTTGCTTGACACGACACAAGGTGTAGCCAAGTTCAGTGCTCTCTAATTCAGCCTCAAGTCCTTGTAGGTACAGCATATCTGGCAAGGCAGAGAGAGAGAGCATCCTTGTCTAAGCTGCCGTTGTAGGCTCAGATGCCTGTTCCTTTCCATTTCACAATGACCTCATTACTTTTATGTGTACAGTAGACTATCAGTAAATGGAAATCTGTTTAACAGAACTGCTGCTTAAATGGAACAAATGCTTCTAACAAGATTGGTTTCGTTCTTGCATTATGTGCCTCTGTTCATATCTCAGTAAACAGAACTCCTGTTAAACGCAACATATTTTACTGGTTCCTTTAAGTTTTGTTTAATGAGAGCCTACTGTATGTTTTAAAATATTGGTTACTCCATCTTCGACATCTAGTGCATTCAAAATGTCCTACGTGCTTTCTTGTATCACACTGCCATAGGCTGCATTGATGTGAAGAAACGTTTCCCAAATATGGGCCTGTGTTGCTTTTCTGCTGTTTCAATGTACTGTGTGAATGGAAATAGATTGTCCTCTAACCTCCTTTGTTTCCAGGGCTTTCACTTCTCCTAGCAACCTTTCATCCCTTACCCATGCCTGCAGTCTTTATATTCTACATCACTGGCCTGTATACAACAGATGTCACTGTAACGGAATGGTGTCAGTAGTTTTTGATGTCAAATATGACCCTCTTTCATTTATAGATCATGCTCAACTTGCTTAGTCCCGCCAGAAAGTGTATATCTGACACCGTGGTTTCCATCCACTGAAGGTTTCAACATCCATTATTTTTTTATTGTGCCACCATGGCAAAACATGCTTTGTTAAGAGCAGGCACTTTAGTAGGCCTCTGCAGCTGTGTACACGACAAGTGGATGATAACAGTGGATGGCCCCACAAGCGGATGATCAGATTGGTAGTAATGTTTTTTAAGATTAGGGACAATCATTGTCATCACAAAATAACTTGATAAAACAACAAAGGTCATATTTCCAATTGTCGAGCTTAAGCCCAGGCCCTCACGCTCTGAAGGTGAGTCTTCTTACCAATGGTTTACACATCCATGCTTGATGAAAACGACTACGCTGTGGGGTTGCTATCACCCCCAGTAAAGAACATGTTATTTGTGGTGCAATGCTTGGAACATGAAGGCAGGAAAGTAAGAGCGACAGATGAGTACCTATCTTCTATCTGCATGTTCCAAGCAGCGCACCACAAATAACGTGTTGAGCAAACGTACGCACCAACCCGGTCACGAAAAAGTTCTCCTGTAAAGTTGTTTGCACCTCGTGGTGCACACGTGTCTCGCGAATAGGTTGCATTCAGAGTCAACTACATAGAGAAAGTATTTCCTCCGTCCATGGTTAACCGCCATCAAGCAATAGGTGACGTTACATTCATGCGTTATTATCATCATCATCATGGTTGGCATGGTAGCGCTGGCAGTGCTGCCTTGCGGCAAGGCTGGGTGGCGGCACATGAGACATGCATAGTTTTTGGGCGTGTGGCAGCTCGAATGCATGGTCACCTGCTGACAGGGTTCTGCAAGATGCCGCAATTGCGGGTCATATTCCGTGGTGCCTAACAGCGAGTCGAACATCGACAACACGGCCTTTGCGTTACATTGTGTTAGTTATGTTGATTGAGCATATTGGAATATTGCATAAGGCTGTTTAGCATGTCACTAGTGACGTATATAATTCAGCTGATAAAATCGTCGATGTAAAAGTACCATAGCTGAATAAATGTACTCGATGTTCTGGTTTTCTTTGATTGAGTCTGTTGTATCCGTTCGCTTCGAGAGCGTGTTGCCCCATTTTGACGCCCCACAATGTGTATACTAAAACCATATAAATAGATGAGTTCATGAACAAAAGCTGTCACTGGAGCCAATGTTTCGAAAGGTAATCTTGTTAACACTGCAACTGTTTTTGCAAAAGCAGTTGCAACGTTACAAACATTGCTTGTCAAAACCCCAGCTCCAGCCATGTGTTCCTACATTTATTTTTCAAGCTTCCATCTTCCCCTAAATTTCTGCACTTTTTTTAGAAACCATACAAGTTGTGTTTACTGCCAAGTGTGAAACAAAATTAGAGAATAGTTTCTATGCAGGTATCAATGAACTTTGTGGTAGTTCAATAAGACACCTCTGTAGGACACAATATAGAGCAGGCGTTGAGGACTGGATGCATCAATTAGGTACTGCTTTTTCTTTGCACAAATTTGATGCCAGGCTCCTGTTTTGGCGGTCCTTCTAAAGTGGCTGTTACAGGTGTTAACTGACAGGAGGAAGCGCAAGGGGTTAGACCGCTACTTGCTCGCACCGGAAACGGCTCCCTTGGCTCTTAATGTAAGCATATTTCTTATGGTGTTATGTCTTGTAGTGTCGCAGCATCTGGTGGAGCTTGAATCTCGACCAATTTGTCTCCGTCCCAGTGGTGCACTGCCGAAGTTGATTGCAAAGACCACAAAGAGGTTACCATAGCCTAATCTCTCGGATTAAAAAGAAATAGAGGGGGCCGAGGAGGAGAGTACCATGTAATTGCCTGTAGCTGCCTTTCTGCAAGGTGCGCCGCTTAATTCATGGCGCGTAATGTTTTCTTTTCACGATTTCTTTAAAGCCTTCCAACAATTACAAAGGGCTCAACTATAATTTACTGTGAGCATGAGACACAGTATCCACCAACTATGCAGATGTGCACATTGCCTTACAGATGTGTAGTGGCCCAGTACACCACAAAATGATTCATTATGTTGCCGTGGGTACATCAGAAATGTGCTAGCAGTAGGTGTCCAAAGAGAGTTCACAAAAGGTTTCAAGACTTTCACTTCTTCAGCTTGGACTGCTACTGTGCTGTGTATTCTGTGCAAGAATGGGCTGTTATTAAGGCAGAAAAGCTTTTCTTGCTGGAAAACTGGGAGTCACCCTTCCAACTTCAGAGCATGCAATTAAAGATACAACTTCATAAGAACCAAATGTGGTGGCTGCAATGCCACTATTCAGTTTTCATTTGAAGTTATCGTTGTTTCCATGAGAGAATAATGTATATTAAATATTTATTTTGAGATTCTTGTGTAGACTGTTCTATACAATTACAATATGTAATAATTAACTAGATACAACTTCTTGCAATCTGTTTCAAGTTTGCCATTGTATAGTGAGTGCACTATTTTAAATATTCACCACCTTCTACTTATCTAACTTGAATATTAGCGTACTCCCAACTTCACGTCTTTAGCAAGAACTACAACAGTTCTCACACTCATTCCTTGTTTTTCTGTCGACTGTTGCCTTCACCTTTAAATACTTTTTACCTCTGTGCAGGATGCAATTTCCACCTTTTTTTTTTTCATCTCTTGCTGTGTTGTTTCCTTCTATTGCAATTTCTTGCACTAAACCTCTAGACAATTACATGTGCTTTTTTATAGGCAGTGCTACATGTATAATGATTTATGAATACAAAGTTCTATTGGAGCATAGAACCGAAATCACATCCTTAAAAGGATGTTTTAGGCCAAAGTTGAAAAGGTTGAATGATTGCACACAAACGTAAATGTAGTAGCGAGAAAAAATGTTTAGCATTTATTCACACAATAAGTACCTGCAAAAAAAGAGAGAAATTAAGTCAGGCCCAGCTCTTTCCTGATGACATTCCTGAGGATAAATGACACAGGTACCGGACGGCCATCTTCACTCATATCTGAAAAAGAAATAGCACTGAAAATGTTTAAGTTTTTTTGTGCAATGGGATCAGAAGAAAAAAAATTACATATGCGGACTTTCTAATGGGGCTCTTCTGTTAAAATAAGTTGAAATGGTTTTACACACTTTGGCACAGCAATGCTGACTTGCGATGTCTTGTCAGTGTGCCCGTGGCATACCTTCTTTTCAATGCGAAGCATTTCTTTGCGTACTGCAGGTACTTTTGGTGTCTGTCTGTCTGTGTGCGTGCGTGCACCCGTGATCACCCCCTTAACTTTGGGCAAACCAAAATTTGTATGAGAGGGTAAAATAATGCTTTAACGAATATGGCTCACTGGCCATGATATGAAAAATTAAGGGTACTTAAAGCATTGCTTTTAAGAGTTGAACGTGATAGCTATATCCTGTTCCTAGTGTGTGCTTCAAACACTTAGTGCATGAAACCTTTCGAACTTGCTATGCCCCCACTACGTGGCCCTTAAGGGAATAAATGCAGGAGCTCGTCTTTCCTAGTGGGTGACTGGCTTTAAACCATGAAGCCATTATGATAATCGCATGTTCTGATGCCCACTGGTATTGGTCGCTTGTACCACGCATTATTACTACAATATTTCATGTTGCATTGTAAAGCATGTATACAGGATGCGTGTGTTTGCAAAGCATGAAAGCTGCTTTAATTACATCTCCAAACAAAGGAAGTTCTTTTCACTGTATTCGCAAGCAGATGCATGGCCGTGTGGTAGAACATCCGCTTGCCATACAAACGACCCAGGTTTAATCCCCACTCAGATCCAAACGACCCTGGTTTCATCCCCACTCCGACCCAGGATTTTTTTTTGTAGTTTATTTTAGTTGCACTTGATTTTTCAGTCACGTATAAGGATTTTTCACTTACAGCCAAAGACACTGACAATGACACCGGAATTTCTGAGAAATGAGCTCTAACTCTTTCGTTTACACGCTTATTCAAATAGATCACCGGTGATCGACATTTTCGATAATTGATTTTGGCATCTAGAATTCGTTTCTCATGCACCCAGCACTTTCTAGCAGTTAGTCTAGCCACTCAACTTTCCGAATATGTTTGAATTTGCTCATTTGGGCAACATAGCGATTCTTAACAGACCTTTGCATAAACCAATGCGTGTGTGTTGGGAAACGCACTTGGCTGGCCAACTTGACTGATGTCCATGCCCCTCATCATGATGCTACAGTAACATGAAAGTTATGTGATCAAAAGAATATTTGCAAGTCAGATATTAAATTAAGGTGGCAGTTTCACAACCGGATGGTGTTGAGCAGTAATAATTGCCAGAAATTTATGCCAGCTACTTAAAAGAAAGCCCTTGCTAGGAGTCAGGGAAAGTTTATTCTACAAAAATATATTTCTGAAGGTCTGCTGCATGTATAAAGTGTGGAGGTGGCCTTCTCATTTAGTTTCTAGCAGCTTTGGTTTTGCTTGTATTGTTATATCAGACTGCAACTAGCGTCACTAGTCGCTCTTATGGCAGCGTCGTCACGTGCGCATGTGTGTGCACCTGTGTTGCAAAAAACGCGCTGCTCAAAACTGTTTTGTAACCGTACCTGAACTGAGTGAGGACGAGCTTAGAGTCGGAGGATGACGGCACCTCAGCTCCAAGTTTTATGCCGATGATGTCTCGCTCCTGAGACATCTGCAGCTGTTCATGGGTTTGTTTTGTTTACGACCTCAAGTTGTCACCTCCACTGCAAGCATGTAGCTGCTGACCTTTGTGCACAATCTTATAGCTACGTTACGTGTGAGGTCCACACGTTGCTGGGGCCGGTGTGTTGGCACCGGCTGCAGAGGTTTTCTTCACGACAAGAAGGTCACTGGAGCACATCTTGGCCCTGACTATGAAGCAGCGTGAAATGTTTTAGAACTGAGCCTGATAGTTTTCTTGAGCGAAAACGTAAAGAATTATGCGTGGTTGCATATGTTGGAACACCAACCTACGCAAAGTGGGGTGGCTCACGGAGAGTGGCAACTCTAGATGAAATAGCGAAGTTCATTGGACATCTGATCTATGAAGAGATTATTCACATCACAGGCATCCAGCTATACTGGCACACCTACAGACTCTTATAGAGAGAAAAAAATGAGACATAAGTGTACGAGTTCACTTGTGTCTCACACACACAAAAAAGCAAGCAATGCTTCACCACATGGCTCGAGCAAGGAAGCAGCACCCCGGTGCCGATTTTCTTTGTCTATGTAAATAGAAACATTTTCTACAACATTTATTATTTTTTATACTGTTCCTGGATCGTTTTTCTTCAAAATTTATACTTTGAAATTTTTTTTGAACATTTCGGCATATATAGTGTTTTTAATTGCACTGTTTACCAGCTGGCAACCAAAGATTCTACACTTTTCAATTTTTTTTAGCTTCAAATATTTTTGCTGCTTTAAACATATAATTTTTAGAAAAAGCATTTCATTGCACGAAATTTGGTATGCTGCAATGCATGCTGGATTACTTTTCGAACTGGCAGAAACTGTCTTCTTGAGACATATAAAAGTAGCCATTTTCGCACAGTAACAAAAGAACTAATGTTGCGACCAACACATCTTACACGACAAGCTGAAACACGTTCTGCAATGAGGGAAGCATCAAAAAAGAGCCGCGTTTTTCCCACAGACTATTGTTCTTAGGCATCGCACTCTCGAAATAGTCATTACAGACAGAGGCACTGCATTCACGGCCATGCCTTTTTTTACCGTTTTGTGCCTAAGTAGTACCGCTGACGAGAAGGAAACAGTGCATCACTCTAAAAAAAAAAGGGGCTGCCAGAACGCAACTGCAAGGCATGCACAGACAGATACAATAAGGGTGTAGACAGATGCATATCACAAAAATTGCAATGTCTGATACCCCTGTCAAACGGCAAATGTGATGCCATTTACAGTGAATGTCATTCATTTGTACTAATGACATTTGTTTGCTGTCACACAGGGAAACTAATGCTGTATGATGAAAATGACATTTTCTGTTGATGAGTTCCCAGAACACATTCGCATTCAATTTCGGTCTGAATGAGTAGTACTGTCGCCTGGGACTTTTAGGGAGATGCTGTTATCTTATGCTTACGTAACTTTTAAAACACGTAATCATCTTATTCCTCACTAGATCAACTTACTACTGGTTCGATGACATACGAACAGCACGTGCGAAAGTTAAAAAAAGAAAAACTCTTCTCTCAAACACAGCGGCTAGACGCCAACCATGTTTCATTTGTGTATTGTTGTTGTTGCCTGTATTGCATATGTTGATTGTCCGATTGCATGTGCTGTGGTGACCAAGGTGGTGACTACACAAAATCGCTGCTGCAGTCTCATTTATGCAGCCAAGAAGTCAGTCATGTGCCCCACTTCAGTTCACTTTACTCACGCGTGGTCATATTATCGGCCATGTAGGTTTTCGAGTGTGTTGTGCAGCTGTGGCAAGTTGTGTAAAATGGCCGCGCTTATAGTCTAGAAGCACTTTTTTACTATAAGAATTATTTTTGAGGGTACACGCATGTTACATGCAAGATTTAAAATACCTTAATTTCTCTGAAAGCCACGACTCAGGAGGGCTAAGGTCATCGTCATCATTTCAAAATGACATTTGTTGTTGTCGTGTGACAGCACGCAGGTAAAATCACACTATGTCCGCTTAATATCATTCGTTGTAAATTACATTAAATTTGCCCTGTGACAGGGGTTACGTGCCTGTTTTACTCTGTATATTATCTTCACGAACAACATCACTCGTCAAGAGAACACACGTATCACACCCTTGTGTATAAGTTCTCACATCGAGACTTTGGGCTGGGATGGACATGTAATATAGGATATTGAAAAGAAAAAAAATATGTATGGTACCATCGTACTCCACCAAGAGAAAGCGTGACCGACAAGCTGCATTGGTGTTCACGAGGTCACGCAACTTGTCGCAAAACTTTCTCATCTGCCCTCGTTCTTGTTCAGCTGTCAGCTCCCCACATTCTCGCATGTCGTTCAGCGTCAGCAGCTGACTGGTACCCTCTGCCAGACAGTAGTACTGCACAGGGAAAGATCACGTCAAGCTCGAGCTGTAATTTACCTGCTTTATCTAAACTCTGAAGCTTTCATAAATACAGTTTATTTGTTCTCCAGATCCTATCAGGTGCAACAAAACAAACAATGAAATACAGGGTGCTGGCGATAACAAAATGTAATGACAGCGCTTCAAAGGCCTGCATGTATTTTAAATGCGAAAGCATTTTTATGCCAATTCAAGAGAAAACTGTCTACTACACTCAAACCTCGTTATAACGAAGTTGAAGGGGTTCCACAATTATTTGGTTATATCCATTATTTTGTTATATCGAATTTAACAGTTTGTGGCAATGTATGCTCAGATGGGCGCACACCTATAAGCATGCAAAGAAGGGAACTGCCTCGCGGCCCGATGTACCGCTACGCGACCACGCATGCAACAAAAAATAAACATAGCCGAACCTCATCATTTCGAACACGCTAAATTAGAATTTCCGCTAAATTCGAACACACGCTGAGGTCTTGTCAAAGCTATGTGTATTCCAATGGGTGAAAACGCCCTGTAATTCGAACGCGCAAGCACTCGCGATGGTTAATTCGAACATACCGCACTCCGAAAATGCTCTCAGCATCATGCCCAATCCCCCGGCGGCACCTGTCAACGCTGCGCGGAAAAAAGGAAAAGAAGAAAAAGAAAAACTGTGGCGGATTGTTTGCTCTCTCTCAAATGCTGATCTGCGATGCCCACCCTGTGCCATGCTTCTCCCTTTTCCATCTCTGCACGTAGAGACCCCTCTCCTTTCAAGGCCGCGAGCGGAGAGAGAGGAAAAAAAAAAAAAAACGCCTGTAGCAGAGAGTTCTCTTTTCTCGGTGCAGAGGGTAGCAGCGGAGACGCAGTCATTGCCGTCGTCTTTAAGGCGTGGAGAGGGAAATCACTTTGCACCGTGGCGCCGCTTCTCAGTCATGTGACCCACTGAGCGCTTCCTCAATCCTCTCCACTGGCTGCGTGAAGAGGACGACTCTCTCGGCCGCGCGTGGCATGGCTGTAAGGTCGGCGTGGTAGTTTTGAAAAAGTCGCACGGAACGAGCGTCAAACTCTGCAGAAAATGATATACTTAACACAATACAGTCGGTTTTTTTTTTTTTTTGACAGACTGTTTGATAGACTAATTTAGTTTGTTATATTCATTTATCAGTCAATTTTACTTCATTACAACGAGGTTTAGAATGCATGATTCGCAATAGAGCTTTCAAGAGAAATTTTATGTACTTCGTTATATCTGTTATTTCATTATATCCCGTTACGTTAAAACGAGGTTTAGTATACTGCTGACAGTGCTACTGTCATTTCCAAAGCTAAGGCAAGTTAGAGCACCAAACAAAAACAAATGAATCCAAAAGATAATGTGGCCAGAGAAGACCTAGGGGCTATTATTTGCTGTCTTTAACAGCAGCGGGCTAATAATGACTTAAATTGAATACAATCAAAGTGGACAAAAAATCACTTTTCCTCGGTGAGACGCAAAGAGTAAAAAGAAAATATCTAGCATTTAACATCGTCATAGTGGCTGTAATAAACGAAAACCCATGGTTGTAGATCTGGAACACGTCTGTATCCCATAAAGGGGAGTCCGAATACTAACTTCGTTCCTCTCTCTCCTTTCGTCTCAGACGCCTCGCCCCCCCCCCCCCTCCCCAAGCCCATGCCCCACTTATTTATTTTCAACATCCGCTGAGAGGAAAGGGATGACCACTACAAAAGTCATTTTGCTGCTCTTAAAATGTCCAGGTTTTGTGGCAGGCAGTTCAACATGTGGCCAGTTGCCAAATGCATAGAGCAGGCTCTGGCTACCCCATCTCGCCCGGGACGCAGCGACATCACTCGCCCTAGTTTCCAGAATGTTGGAGAAGTGTCGTCTTCATGCGCTATCACAATGCCTCTCTCACGTGAATCTATATTGAAGCCTGGTTCGAGAAGTACCATACTAATCTGACATAGAAATGATGTTTGCACCTCCATCTCAATGTGGCGTAGCTGATATACTCCGCACTCCGATTTTCCTGTAGACGATTTACTACAGCATTTTAGAGTCTTCTCCATGAAGTTCCTGGATATCTGCAGGGATGTTTCTTGCTGTGGCCCAAATCCTGTGCCTTGCTCTCTCTCCCGCTGCTTCATAGGAATAAGCTTTCTGTGATGGTCACACAGCTGTTTCAGACGGTGGTGGTTTTGCTTCGGCATTGTCCGCAGAGAACTTCTCTTTGTTTTTGGAGGCATAAACAGAACTTTCACCTCCTTGCCTAGGCGATCTATGTACTTGTTTGGTCACAACCTTGTCTAGTCACTCAAACCTGAGTGGAAAAGTCCTGGCATTTAGGCTGTGTATCCAATGACGAAGACACCACAGAAAACATGGCACGGCTTTTAGCTTCACCGTCGAGGACATAGAAGGGGCCATCATTGCTAATAGACAAGCTTTTCACAGGTTGATCCTTTGCACGCTTCCGCAGCTGTTCACCGACAGAAACTTCATCTTCTTCAATCTCATCATTCAAGCCATAGCTTGCATAATTTCCAGAACTTCTGCCTGCACTTTCGAGAATGGCTATCGCTTGAGCCGTTTTTTTTTTTCGGTTATTTAGCCTTCTTTGGAATTTCGCCACAATGGCCCAATGCCTGTTCCTCTCCTGTCCGGCTGACAGTGCGCAAAAATCGCTCACGAGGATCTTTCACACAACTTCACCACATCATCACACACACATCATCATCACTTAATATAACTGCCATTATTGACCCGAATAATTTATTTCTGAGGTGACGGTTTTACCTTTCTGCATGCCGTCACAACCCATGCTTTGTTATTTGGTTCAACTTCAATCCAAATGTTTTTCATAAATTTCTTCACCCACAGAGAGTCCACTTTCCTGGTTTGTATCTGCACCTTTAAAACATCTCATGTATTTTCCAGTGCATTTGGTGATGCTGTCACTGCTATCGAGGACTATGGAAACCAGCTCTGTCGTAGCTCCTACTGGCATGTCTGACGTAATCAAGAGACTATTCACTTTCAAACAGTAAACACAGCCCATCAGCTATTGTATGCAAAATCTTCTCATGGTAGTCTGCAGCATGCTTGAGTCCATGTCAACTGCCTTGTTTAGCATAACATCAAGAATCTTCTTGTCTAAATGCTAGAGCTCGCCATCCTTGGTCATGAAAATGACGACATGCCTGTCGATCTCCCATGCTTTGGTGTTGGGGTCATGCAGTAGTCCGGTCACGAGTGTAATATTTCATGAGATGCTGGCCCTGACAGTCTAGTGCACCATTTAAAGACGCTCGAGAGGCCTCCCCTCTCCCGCTTCTTTGTTTTCAACAGTAATGATGCCTGTTCATCATCTGTGAATATTAACCAAGTAGCACAACGAATGCTCCCATGAGCATGGACCATCAGCTTATTGCTTATCAGGAATGGTGGTGCTTTCTTGCTGCTTGGCATGTGCCACTGTCAACAGTGCTCACACACTATGGAGCCAATTTCTGGAGCTGCGGATGCTCATTTTACCCTGGTCCGAGCACATCGCTTTATCACTCAAGGCATGTTTGAGAGCACTGCAGTATAGTAATGGATGAGTGCAGACAGGTACTTTTATATATTTCGCCAAGCAGCATGTATGTTGCCACAAAAATTCAATCGGTCATTTTCAAATGGTTGCAGCAACATAAAAAAATGCACATGACCCCAAGTGAATACTGAAAATTTTTTATAATTGATCTTACTTAATTATTGAATTAAAAGTACCATAAAAAATTTATATGTATGCTCAATGTTTCAGATACTGCACCCCTCTGATTATCTCATCATGATATTACAGGCAGTTCATTATGCTCTGAGACACAAATGTATCGCTACCATATTCAGCCAAAATCACATTTATTTTTCTCTATTACTTGCTCACACCAGAGAACTTACTGCATCCAGTAATGGCCACCTTAAATTTAGCGGCAAGCTTACAGACGATGGGTTTCCAACTCATCTCAAATAGCGAGCACAATCTCAAAATTTAGTTCGTCAAGTGCCTGGAAACAAGGGCCACAACAGTTCAACAAAATTATAACATTGCCATTTAAAGATATGCCTTTCCTGTATCCCATATCTGGGTCATAGTCGCAGTTGATTTGACAAAGGCTTCAAGATAAATACTGATACTGTTCTGCAAAATGGCAAATTTTAAAATAGCCTTTTTGTTAAACAATAATGTTTCAACACATATGGACTGCTGGGGTGCCTTAAAAAAATAATGCTCGAGACCAGTCACATCTTTGTAGCTCCGACGAACAAAGCACTATTAGTAATCCTTTGTAACCAACGGCCAATGCAGCTATGCAAGTAAATACTTTTTAACACAAAAGTATTAACACCAAGACTTGACTGACGTATTTTCGTTAAAGATATGACACTGTAAAACACACAATAATGACAAAGAATCAAATAGAAGAAAGCTACACCGCTGGGAAACGAACCCCCGACTCCTGGCTCCATGGAGTGTGGTGCTACCGACTTGGCCACACAGCACACATTCTTTAGCATACTAATAGCAAGCTATTTATATACACCATCTACCACTGATGGTGCACAGATCTTGGAGGCTAAGTGTGTCACAACCTCTAAAGCACGCGCTTCAGAGGTTGTCACCCCACTTGTTGAGATGCACGCGTGCTTATCTCTTAATGGGTGCGGTTTGTATGTCCTGTGCTTTCATATCAAAGTTTGCCCGAAATCACACAGCGCACGAAGTTCACTTCACTGATTGCAGTGGCTATGCTTGCAAAAAAAGGACGCTGCTCAAACACACAAAAATAACAACTGTGACATTTAGTTTGCACTTGTGTGTATACAGCTAAACCCATTCATAAAGATAGCAGTTGTAATTAATAGTATCTAAAGTTTTATGTCCCATACAGGTTTTAAATAACAATATTTAGCTTATAACAATGAGCAGATGTTACATGGTGAACTT